ATAGGCAATGAATGTAATAAAGGGAGTATAAGGGATATTCCACCCGAAAAACAAACTGGAAAACCCTTACATTCTAAAATAAAATAGAGATAGGGTATTCCAAGCATAAAAGTTACATAAGTCTACTAGTTTACAAAAAGAGCATAACCACTTCCACGCGTTAAGGACTATCTCCGAGATACATTCATCAAAGTTAAATACCCCTCCTTTAAAGATGATAACAATACGCTTCCACCAAATACTCCAATCAGTTGCTAACCAAATAATCACAATAATAGTCCTATTCGTTTTACTTTTCACCTTACCACAATAGGCAAAAAACCCCTTAAACTCCACCAAGGTTAGATCCTCAATAGTACCAACCCACTCATAAACCTTCCTCCAGATTCTTGTCGTATATGTGCAAATCCCTAATAGATTCGATAATGTTTCCTCCCCCGTCATGCAAAACACACAACTTAAGTCTCCACTTTATGTAAAAATTCTCCTCTTAAAAATTGGTCCTTAGTATAGAACATTTCAAAGTAATAATTTTGATGATTTATTTCATTGATCAAGGTACTATATATACATAAAAGAGTCCCTATAATTTCTCTTATATTAAGGGAATGAAATAAATTATTTACAGCATAAATATTTTCCTACTTAATTTAGCTAAAATATCTTTGACTTACCTTAACACCCCCACTCAAGTTGGTGCATGGCTATCACACATTCCCAACTTGAACAAAGACTCATTAAACACCTTACTTGCCACTCCTTTAGTGAGAACATCTGCTAACTGAAATTCAGATCTTACAAAAGGAAAATAAATTATTCCAGCTTCAAGTTTCTCTTTGATAAAATGTCTATCTATTTCTACATGCTTCGTTCTATCATGTTGCACAGGATTGTGCGCAATGGCAATTGCTGAAGTATTGTCACAATACAAAGTCATAGTTTCCCTTGGTTTAAAACCCAAATCCGATAAAACATTTCGTATCCATAAAAGTTCACAAACTCCTAGTGCCATTCCTCTAAACTCAGCTTCAGCACTAGACCTTGCTACTACCTGTTGTTTTTTACTCCTCCAAGTTACAGGATTCCCCCTACAAATGTAAAGTAACCAGAGGTAGACCTTCTATCATTTCTTGAACCTGCCCAATCAGCGTCGGTATACCCTTCTACCTTCAAGTTTCCATGATTTGAGAATAAAATTCCTTTTCCAGGAGTGGACTTCAAATATCTCAAGATCCTTTCAACAACATCCATATGAGCTTTCCGTGGATCATGCATAAATTGACTAACGACATTTACTGCATATGTAATATCTGGCCGTGTATGAGACAAGTAAATTAGTTTTCCCACCAACCTCTAGTATTTTCCTTTGTCTATGTTGGCTGAATTTTGGCATTGAAATAGCATATGATTTTGTTCAATTGGGGTATCAACAGGTTTACACCCAAGCAGTCCTGTTTCAGATAGTAAATCAAGAGTATACTTTCTATGGCATAGAAAAATACCATGTTTAGATCTAGCTACTTCAATACCCAAGAAATATTTGAGGTTTCCAAGTTGCTTCATCTCAAATTCAGAAGTGAGGTATTTTTGTAAACTAGACATCTCATCTTGGTCATTCCCTGTAACAATCATATCATCTACATAAATAATCAAAGCTATAATTTTACCTCCTCCTTTCTTCAAAAATAAGGTGTGATCAGAGTTACTCGCTTTATAGCCAAAAGCCTTCATAGACTTAGTAAACCTACCAAACCATGCTCTTGGGGATTGTTTTAATCCATATAGAGCCTTTCTTAACTTGCAAATATTCATCTCATTTGAATCTATCATACCCGGTGGTAGATCCATATAAGTTTCTTCTAAAATTTCTCCATGTAGGAAAGCATTTTTCACATCAAATTGTAGAAGAGGCCAATCTTGGTTTGCTGCTAGTGACAAAAGTATTCTCACAATGTTGAGCTTGGCAACCGGCGCAAATGTCTCTTGATAATCTACACCATAAGATTGAGTGCAACCTTTAGCCACTAGTCGTGCTTTATACCTCTCAATAGTTCCATCAGCTTTGTGTTTAATTGTATAAACACATCTGCACCTACAATTGCATAGACTGATTGAACATTAGGAAGCGGAGTGGTAGCCAGAACACGACCACGAACTCCATTCAAATGTGAATCCAAACCAGCCAATAAAACATAAACTCGTTGAAAATTAACCATCTTATTGTATTTCTCAACATCTTTAGTTCATTCCATGGTACAATTATTAATACTATTGTACTCTTGCCATAGCCTCTGCAATTTTCCAAAGTATATAATAACAGATCCACCATTTTGTTGAGTAGAGATTACCTCACGATGCAATTGATAAGCTCTTGATGCATCTTGGTCGACGGAGTACGTTTGTTTCGCAGTTTCCCAAATTTCCTTCGTCGTAGCTAAGCGAATGAACAAAGATTTGATTTCTTTAGTCATAGAGTCAAGAAGCCAAGACTTGACCAAGCAATTTTCATCTTCCCATGCTTCATATTCATCGGGTTTATCTTTTGCTGGTGCAGTCTTTGTTCCGGTAACGTAACCCCATCGTTTTCTGCCTCTGATTTTGTTCTGTGCATTCAACGACCATTTGACGTAGTTAGTGTCGTCAAGCCGTTCTAGGGTGAGTGCATCGTTGAATTGGACATCAACGGAAGTTCCAGAATTCTCTGATTTGTTTTTATCAGAAGCCATCAGAAATTACTAAGAAATAAAAAAACCACCGTTCCTATATTGAAAGAGAGACGGTGTTGGCTCTATATACCATTTCAAAGTAATAATTCTGATGGTTTTATTCATTGATCAAGGTACTATATATACATAAAAGAGTCCCTATAATTCCTCTTCTATTAAGGGAATGAAATAAATTATTTACAGCACAAATATTTTCCTACTTAATTTAGCTAAAATATCTTTGACTTATCTTAACACTTAGTAGGCATCCCATTAAGAAGAATTCTCCATCCGAAAATATGCAATTTAGACGGGACTTTAACCTTCCATAAGTGGTTAATGGCGTTCACCACATCCACGGTAAGAGAAGAAGCAGAAAAATTCTCGCTAAAGTGCTCAAAACAAGACTTTACCGTGAATTTCCCATCAGTTTGTTTCAACCACTCAAAGTTGTCCATCACATCTTTGACCAGAACCACTTCCTGAACTGTTTCCGAAAATACTGCCGTAAATTGGGCAGAATGTTGCTGCTGTTTCGACAAGGTCTGTGAGGTTTTGAGACCAAACAAACTCAGTCCAGCTGCCTGCGGCTGCAACACATATATGCTCATCTACTGTCTGAGCAAAGATTTCAGGGAAAACCTCCATCAATGATTAGTTACCAAGCTATAAGGAATACCAGGAAGGTGTTCCCAACCCGTTCCCAACTCTGCAATTGACAGCCCCTGTAAAACGATTTCCCAACAAATTGACAGAAATATCAGATAACAAAATATCTCTCCACCAAATGAAATCCCTATTGTTCAACACACTTTTATCACCAATGAGGACTTTAGTCAACGAATTCTCATATTTACTTCTTAAAATACTACTCCAACCCGCGTCTTGCTCCTTCAAGATCCTCCATTTCCATTTATTCAATAATGTCATATTCAAGATCTCCACTTACTCATAGACCTCCTTTTTAAAACGATATCCCAACTCACCCAAAAAATCATCCTTTTTATTGTCAGCACCCATACTATTTTAGATTTATATATGTTAAACATTTGAATGTTAAGTATTTTGGTTTATCTTTTCAATATTTTTATTTAGATGTTATCAATCTCATATTTTAAATTATCGTGACATTTTTATTTGTATATCTTTTTTTTTTTACCACACAAGCTTTAAAAATTTCATCAATTATTTTATATAATTTATAAAATTTTATAAAAAATATAAATATTATTTTATATTAATAGGTTGAAGAAAAATAAAAGAAAGAGAGATATAAAGTATTAGTAAGACGAATTAGACCTATTTACAGAGATCTAAGAGATGTAATAGGAGTGAGTGATGTGAGAGAAGAAGAGGGAAAGAGAGAGAGGGATCGAAAGGAAGAAGAAGAAAAAAAAAGTCTTCTTCTTCTTTTTAATATTATATTTAAAAAAATATTAATTTAAAATATCAAATATATAAAAAAAAAAGATTATAAGAAAATGACTTTTAAGTCTTTGAAACAAATAAATGAGTTGAACCTAACGAATTGAACCGAATTATTCATAATTTAAAATATGTCGAATTTGAATTTAAAAAAGTTCATGTCAAACTCGAGTCAAATTTCAAATTAAACTAATTCTTATCGAATCCAGCCGAGCAGAAACTAACCCTACAAATTCACTTCCATGGCGCTACATTAAAACTCAAGACCAGTGAAATAAAACAGTATTCCAACATTCATCAAACAATTCTAGTTCCGCCACAAAATATTTTATTTTAAATTTTTAAAAGTGTTTTTTTAATAAAAATTTACTAAAAAATATTACAAATAAAATAATAAATTAGATATTGATAGGTAGATATTTTAACCTAGTATAAGTCACCTATTTTTTTTTATATAAAATCCTTTGAAATATTTTTTTATGAAAAATTATAAAAAGTAACTTAATTCAAGATCACTATAAAGAAAAAACATGTAATATTATAAAATTTTATTTTAATTCTTTTACAATAATAGTTTAACGATTAAAATAAACTTTCTCTCAATTGAAGATATAAACAATTTTTAAACTAATACTATATGATTTAAATGTATTAAATGAAGGATACAAAATATTAAAAAGGCAAAGTAAATAAAAAGAGGTGTAGAAAGTGTTTGTCTGATAGTTTAGATTAGAATCGGACTCAGGCCCATTTAGACAGAGTAACAAGAGTGAGTGGTGAGGTCAGAGAAGAAGAATAAGAGAGAGAAAGAAGAAGAAGAAGAAGAGAGAGAGAGAGAGAGAGAGAGATCAAGGAAGAAGAAGAAGAAAGATGGGTGGAGGAATGGAAGCAAACAAGAACAAATACATAGAAGAATGGGGAGCTGTTAGAGAGAATCTGGAACACAATTTCCGTTGGACTCGCCGCAATCTTCTCCTCGTTGGTATCTTCGGTCTCGCTGTTCCCGTACTCGTCTACAAAGGCATCGTCAAGGAATTCGTAAGATCCATATTCATCTTTTTGTCTTTTCATTTTCACCATACTTTAGGGATCTGTTTTAGGTTTCGGTGAATTGTTTTCAATTAAATTTTGTCACCGTTTTTTGTGTTAAACAACAAATTGGGATTAATTTACACCGCCATAGACCGAAATCGCGAAAGCCTTTATGCGACGATCAATGTCGTGATACTTGTACCGACCGAAATCGCGAAAGCCTTTATTTGATTTATTGAAATTTGCAGCTGCTTGGTACATGATAGTTAAACCAGCAAATAAACTTGAAATTTAAGAATACATTGAAATGTTGGCTTCATGTTTGATTTACAAACCTTTCCAGTGAGGCGGCATAAATTTGATTGTTTCTGAAGTTATGTTCGATATGCCAAATATTGGATACAAATATTGTTTCTTCATCCTTGATCTTATCGTTTTGTTGCTGAACTCCTTCTGGTTTCTGTTTAAAATCTGTCAGCTCCTTTAATTTAATTGTTAAGATTCCGACATTAGACGCGATAAGATTAAGACCTAAACATGTTTAACACGGGGTCAAACATCTCATTACAAGTCTATTTTGTAAGGGTTGACATTGACCCAACCCAAATTCTATGATGGTATCAAAAACCTATCCAAGATTTGTTGAGTCACATGCTATTATGCTACTTGGGTCATGTTACAAATGTCTAGTCCTTAGCCTAAGGCTGTGTGTTAACAGGCCACTTGGATCATATGTTACAAATTTCTAGTCCTTAGCATAAGGCTGTGTGTTACGAGATACTATATATTAGACGAGAGAAGACATTAAAACCTGTTCATAAGTTTATAATTGTGGGCAGTCCTTATCTTACAAGTTAGCTTTGTCAAGTCTTAGTTAGGTTCAAATCAAATTTTAAAAGCAATGTATTGTTAATTGTTAAATGACGCCCTATAGTTTTCAATTCATCTTGATTTTCTTTGCACCTAGACATGACTTTTTTAATTTATGATTACAGCATATGCAAGATGAAGATAACGGCAGACCATACAGGAAGTTCAAGCCTTAAAGTATGTAAGATGTTTTGTAATAATCAGGGGTTATGAAAGTTAGACCTTAATGAGGCTACAACATGTGTTTTTTCTTAACTGTCCAATGGCCGTTTGTTTATGTAGTTTGGTTCTATCAAACCATTCCTTGTTTGGCTGTCTTCATTGATATTGCTGTGATGTTAAATTGCTACTGTTGTTCAAAATCAATAATATATTTGGAAAACAAAGCATGAGTTTGAGAAAATTATAAGATTGTATTTGCTAGGTTAAAAGCTAATGGTGTTACTCAAACTCTATTATATTCCTTGCAGTAACTTTCATTAGATGTTTTTGTTGTATTACTCATATCAGCAATGAAATGCTTTGACTTTTATTCTGTAAAAAACAAGAAAATGTTACAAGAAGTCATGTACATGGAAACAATTGTAACCATGAAATGAATGATAAATCAAAGAGTTTCATTAAAATGTTAGGACAATGTTAGTAGGTCTAAAGATGGATTCCAAGTGGGGATGAGAAGCAAACCTGCTGTGTTAGAGGACAATGCATAAAAAGATGTTCTTGGCATTCCTTTTCATCCAAATGTTACTCAACAAAGCCTGTCACAAATTTTTAAGTACTCACTTATTGTCATTTTGAATTAAATTTTACATTTACTTGTTTATGTTATATGTAAATTCTAGCATAAACTCTAATTATGGTCTATATAATTATGGTCTATATGATTTTCCTTAACATTGCATGTAGGATAAGGGTCGGCACAATGGTTTTGGAGGTCTAAAAAGCTCTTTTTTCTGGTGGATTGTCAAAATAAAATTGGTGGATAAAAAAAAAGAAGCTATTCTAAAATACAAGATATTAACATATAAATTACAGAGTCATACAAAAATAAGTTATAAGCTTACACTATAGGTTAAAAGTCAAATTTAAATTTAAATATATTGTTGATATTTATAAAAAATCAATTTTTTTTCTTCTAAACAATGGTTTCCTATCTTTAACTTTAAATCTATTTATAAAGTGTCATGTTTATATTTTTAACAGCCATAAACAAAGAGAAAATGAGATATACACTATTTTAAATTATTAGTATGACATGACTGAATAATTTATTCTTATTAATTGATATTATAAAATTATTTTACTCTTACTGCATGATCATTAAACTCATAAACAAATAATATATTTATTCAAATTAATTATTTTACGCTTGGTGCATGATCATTAAACTCATAAACAAATAATATATTTATTCAAATTAAACACGGAAAATATTTGAAGACAATTGTTTGGAAAAAAAATATTTAAAGGGGCTAAGAAACAAAATGAAAGTTATAATAGAAAAACTTGTTTATATTATCTATGAATTAAGAAGTACTACAATAGAACAATTTCTAGTTTTACGTTAAAATGGTTATAACATAAATGATTAAAATTGTATATAAAAAAAAGAAGCTTATCCCAGATTTTAACTTTGGACAAGGATTTCAAAATGACATACTTAGCCCAAGGAACTAAAATTATTAGAGAATTTCTTAATGTACTTTATATGTTTTTTAGGTATCAACGGAATGTATTTTCGGTGCGTATTTTATTATCTAAAAAAAAATATAAATTGGAAGTTCACTTACGGTTTTCAAACCGATGTTGTATTCCTGGTTATACTCTAAGTGAAATTAATAATAACACTGAGATGCGACACCCTACCACGTTGATACGAACCGGAAATGCAACATTGATTCTAAACCGTAAGTGTATTTCCGATTTGTATTTTGACATATACCAGCGCTACCTCTTCCCCTTCCTCATTTGCTTCAAACATAAACAAAAGAAAAAATCTCCCAAAATCCCATTGTTCCAAAATACTCATTCTTTCAAAATCCACAAATTTATCGCAATACATTAGAAAATCATCAGGCATAATCGGAATCAACCAAGAAAAATCAATCACTGTAAGTTGTTTTTGAGCATTATTGAGTTTTTTTTTTTAATTTTACATACAATTGTATTTTAGGGTAGTAAAATATAGTTTTTTTAGTTCTTGCAATGTTTGAAGTCAATATGAAAGTGTTAGCCATGTATTTTTGACGATCAATTCTAGTTTTTTAGTCCCCATTAGGCGTAAGCTTCGCCATTGACATACCTCTTAAGTTGCAGGTCGTACCGGAAGTGTATTTCCGATTTTGTTCTTGACAAAAAACGGAAGTATACTTCCGGTTATACAACAAACAATTTTTCCCTATTTTTTGTACAAGAGTGTTATTGCTTAATACTTTATTCGTTTATTCTACAGATATTATGGCTGACAGACAATCCAGATTGCGACACAAGAGACTTTCACAGCATGCTTTCATGCGTAGGAAAAAGACTCAGTCTTTTCAGGCTCGTAGGTTGGTTGTGCTAGATACTTCCACTCCGTCGACCAACAGGCGAGAGTCTCCTGTCCATCCATCTCCGCCTCTGTCCTCCTGCAGACGTATATCCTTACCACAGGTATCCAGACCAAGAGAGACATCCATATCTCACCCACAAACTACACCATATTCAGTTCATACCTCCCACGGACGCCCTATGATCTTTGAGATACGAGAGTCTTCTTCATCCCAGCCGACACCTGCTCTCACCCAGCCTACACCAGTTCTCACCCAACAAACACCAGAGGCCACTCCCACCCAGCAGACACCAGAGGCCACTCCCACCCAACAGACACTAGAGGCCACCCATGAAGATGTGAAAAACACAAGAAGGGGGGTTGAATTGTAAAACTTGAAATCAAATGCAGACAACACGTTATTTTTATCCTGGTTCGTTTGATCTCAAACTACTCCAGTCCATCCGTCAAGGTGATTTCGCCTCTCTCCAACAAGGTCTTAATCCACTATATTCAACTGAATACACAACTACTTTAACAACTGTTAAAGCCTTCTTGAGTCTAACCACAGACCGATTTATCTCAAGGAAGTTTTCTTACAGATAAATGAACAAATATGTGTTTGATGTTTTCTTACAAAACTATATATCACAACTGTGATAATACACAATATTAAGCTTAAGATGAAACTAGATTGCTAGAGCTATAGAGTAAGCGTGGTTGAAAGCTTTAGCAAAAATGAGAGCGTGCGTGAGGATGATTAGCTTAGGCGTGTATATGCGTGTAGAGTATTAGCCATTTCTTTTCTCACTGACTTGTTTAAGTAGCCTAGGAATAGATACGTTGCTGTCCATAAATCCATTTCAATGCTCATAACGTTCTTTCCTTTTTGAGAAGATCTTTGTCTTGGAATAAAGCCGTTGGTAATTAATCTGTCTTGAATGCATAGTAACGTTGACACTTCAGAGTGTTCTTGGCTTTAGCTTATTCTGACGCTTCTGAGTGCTGATGACATGGTTAGGATCTTGATCAGAATCAGAGATGTTATGCGCAGATTCTGTTCATCAGGCTTCAGCGTATAGCACATGTTATTTGATCTTCTGATGCTGACATATCTTCTGATGTTGATGTTGATACTGATATTCTGATGCCGATTCCATCCGAGTTTCTGTAAATACACAACATAATTTTAAGTAGCATATATCTCTTATAAATCTTACAATTTATTTAGTCTTGTATTTTGTTATCATCAAAACTCTAACTGAGGGTTGTAGAATCAAACTATGTTCTAACAATCTCCCCCTTTTTGATGATGACAAAAACCAGATTTTTTCAATTAAAATAAAATGATGAAAGGTATCAGAGTTTAAGGATAGAGAGGAAACGGTATCAGAGATAATCAAATAACGAATAAAAGGTATCATAGATAAGAAGATTAGGAATAAAAAGTATCAGAGTAATGAAGAGAAAAACTCCCCCTGAGTTGATTACTTCCCTTTAATTCCATGAGACCTTGAGCATCAGAACTTTACTTTATCAGAATTCATCAGATTCATCAGATTCTTGTACCTGTAAGCTTTTCAAAAAAAAAAGGTTCAAATAGATCAGAATGTTAGAATGTTTGAGACTTATGTCTCAGTAATCCGTTATTGAAAAATATCATTCTTTCTCCCCCTTTTTGTCAGTTATCAAAAAGCACAAATAATCAGAGTTAAAATGATCAGAGCAAAAAGAGCGTTTATATATAAGAGACAGAAGCAATGATTAAGTTCAGAACACGTAAAATATTACAGACAAACATGTAAATAAAACACAAGAAAATTCTAAGAAGAAGGTGGAAGACGTGTGAAGTGTTTAAATAGATTTCTAAATTTTTTTTGAAAACATAAACGTTTAAGAGAGAGAAATAAATAATGATTATTAGCATTTAATGATAGCTGATTTTAGGGGATTCAGAAAGATACTTGAACGGTTACCCATGACATGTGTCTCAATGCATCCAATAAGCGCTTTGCCTTTTCAGAAACGTGAACGCGTGTTCAGCCTCAGAAAACAGCTGATGACTGGAAGACACTTGTTTGCTTGAGTGAACAACTATCCTTGAACTGAAGCGCTCAGATCTTCATGGATAGATTCTGATACAATCTGCATTTCTAAAATTCTGAAAGAGGATTGATCAGAAGTTCACAGAGAAATAAACACAATTCTGAAGGTTAATATATAAAATTAAAACAATTTTATTCTGGACAGAGCTTCATGCTGAGATGTTTCAGAATGAAGTTGAACCTATCTTCAGAAAGTGGTTTTGTGAAAATATCAGCCCATTGATGGTCTGTGTCAATAAATTTTAAATTTAAAATCCCTTTATGAATATAGTCCCTAATAAAATGATGTTTTATTTCTATATGCTTAGACCTAGAATGCAAAATTGGATTTTTACTTAAGCAAATAGCAGAAGTGTTGTCACAGAGGATAGGAATGTTACTCTCAAATATCTGGAAGTCCTCAAGTTGACTTTTCATCCAGAGCATTTGTGTGCTGCATCCAGCTGCTGCTATGTATTCAGCTTCTACTGTTGATAGAGCAATTGTGGATTGTCTTTTGCTGGACCATGAGATCAGATTTTCTCCCAGAAACTGGTAGCTT